GTAGCAGCCCTTTTCGCGAGCGCCAGTCCTTCGCGAGCAGCGATATCGATTGTATGGACTTTTGCACGCAGTTATTCGTCCGCACGTGTTTATCGAGTGAACGTGTCGTAGAGAAATGAGCTATTGCTTGGAAGCTGCCGTTGAAAAATTCCATGAATAACGTTTAAAGAGCTCGCCCCTTTGGTCTGCGCGATTCGCGCAAGGAAATAATTGGGCATACACGTGAAAATTGCGGCACCCTATTACATTGCGCAGCCTACCGTCCCACCCACGTTGTGGCTACAAGAGAAATCCGCCGACAAATTTGGCCCGAAAATAGACATGAATGGAAATCCATTTGCGCTGCATCCACCCCACCCACGGCTGTCGAGGCAGTGGCAGCTTTGAAAGCTCGCTCATTACGGCCTAGCCGTAGCTTCGGCATTGATAGCGCCGGCGAACTGGCAGCATAGAGTGACGGTCAAGTCCAGAGCTCGACGGCCGAGGGCGCTCTCCTGCCCGTGTGTGCACGCTCGCCAGGTACTAATTGGAAACGGAAAATATAGTGCCGTCCGCGGCAGCCATGGCAACGCCCCATCCCTGCAAACGCAAGCGATCTGCAGCATCGGGTGCACCGCCGTCGTCGCTACACTGCTTGCGCCCCAAATCACTTTCTCTCTGCGTAGCCTTACAGTGGTCGATGTCGTCGGCAGGCCCGACTCTCAGGCTATCGCCTGCTGAAGACCCTAGTCGGCTGCGTAAGTGACTTAACGCAGCTCTGCTCGCAAGGTCAGCCCAGTTCAATTTAGACGGCTTGAAATGGAACCTTGGCACTTCAAGCTGTGAAACTTTCGGATATTCCAATCGAGTTGCTGTTGTGCAATTTACTTCTCAAAATTCGAACCTCAAAAGTGAAGGATTCGCCTTTGCAATAAGACACTTCAGTTTCACTCAAATCATTGTCTAATGAATTATTCAATTAGTTACCCCACGTTCACAGTGAAATTCACGGATCAACTGTATAAACAGCGTAACAGTTTATTTACTCATAAGGACTGCCTGACTGCAGAACATTTATTATTTTTAACTTTTGAACTATATGTTTTCCATTAATTAAGCATGGTAGATTGATAATAAAAGAACAAGATATTTGCCAATAAGATTAAAATGTTTCAGATTAACGTACAAACTAAACAGAAGTTTGAACCAGTTATTTTTGAAAATCCACCATTTTCAAACTTCGACTGCGGTACGTGACGTTCAAATTAAACACGAACTTTACACAAATGATTACGTGTCTCGCTCGGCTAATTCCAATTTTTGAAATTAAAAGAAAATACTCTCGCGCGAATTTCCCTAAAAGAATCGATACTCCAAATATATCGAAGCCAAGTATCGTCGGTATGAAAGCCTCTTAGTTCTTTGTCTCGATCGCCGTTATCGCGCTCGTAAAGCACACGCGGCGGTAGCAGCAGCAGCTTCTCAACTTTTCTTTCCCCCGTCGTTGTCGTCGTCGTTGCATTTTTATCGCGCGCGAGACGCGATAGGCTAACGGAGTCTGTAGCTCAACGATCGATCGCTCTTTTTTCTCTCTTTCAAGCTTCACAGGGTAATTTTAGCAATCTCCATTGAAAGGACAGATTTCGTACGTCGCAATTGATATGTATTTTTTTTTCTTTTTGAAATCTTAAAATGTTAAATATACCATTGATAAAATTTGTATGATGTGTTCGTGTCATGTATCAAAGTATTTCTTTAGCAGCTGCTCGTTTCATTGAATCTTGTTTGCTGGTTGAACCTCCATTGCGATAAATTTGCATACTCGAATTGTACATGCAATGCCAGTTTGTACATCTATAACAGCTGCACAAATATTATTCTTAAACGTCTAAAAGAAATGTTGCTATTCATGTGGAGACCAAATTTACTCCGAGAAATCAGTAATTCAATGAATTTACGATCCTGAATAAAAAAGTATAACTTCCCTATCGACTTACGTGAAACATTTATGTGTCATCTATTAAACTAAATAGCATAAATCTGATTCTTTTCTTCTCCTTTTGCACCTTTTCTTTACGAAATGCAATTCGCTTTTTCTTCATCTCATAAATTCTGTAGCAGCGACGCGCATATACACAAAGCTATATTTCCTTGAGATTTATCGGTGGATATAATAGATTTTCAATCGGCGCACACAGCTAGCCAAGCAACTTGGAAAAGTACCTCTGAAGTAAAGATCTCAAATTGAAATTTATTAGAGGGACGAACGACTTGAATCGTTGGTGCAGTAACTGATCATTACATCTTGTCAAACAATGTCATTATGAACGTAACGCTTTTTCTCTTACAATTTTTATTCCGTTAAACTCGATTTACCTCAAATTATTTGTGTGATGTATTTACTGACATCTCTTTAAAAGCACAATTACAGTGTGATTGAATGTCTCAACGTGATTTCAATTGGGACACGAACAGGTGTCATTTAGGCATCGTCTGTGAGAGCAGTGCTCAACAGTTCGTTTGAAAAGCTGGGCAAAAAAGAGAAAGCAACATTGAAAGGAGATGCTCAATGCAAAGGAAATTCCAGAGCGCATTGAACGCGGCGCGTCGGGCCCCGAGGCTATTCTAATTGCGTATCACGCGAAAATTCCAGGGGCAGGCGGAAGTACTTTGTGACACGTGGAACGTGTGCACATCCGTAGCATCGCCATTAGCGTGCGTAGGTACACAATCACGCTTATCCTTTTTTCGATCTGCAGGTGTTTTTTTTCCATTTGAATGCCGCTCGAACGGGAAGTTCCGATCGTTATGGACGCGGGAGAAAGTTTTCCGAGGATTTTTATTAAAGAACTTACGCGCGGTAGTCGCACAAAGAGAGCGAAGAACTTTTCCGAGAGCGTCCGCTACAGCTGCACTGAAAAAGAGATGAGAGAGCAAGAAAAAGCACGAAGAAGGCCGCTGACTTGAAGGAGTGGCGTGCGCTATATATAACCAAGTACACATGCATTTTGCCGAGCTAATTGCAAAAAAATTTTTTGCCCTTCGTTAAATTTTAATTAACCGCGCGGAATACCGAATCGCTGTTTAAGCGAGCGAAGAATTTCATTATTAAAAACAGTGCGGCCATCGCTCGTTGCTTGTTTGCTAAGTACGCTATTCCCGTAATTGAAATATTAATAAATCAGCGGAGATATCCTCAAGAAAATTAGCCTCTTAGTTCTAGCGTGGGAACGTCTGGAATGCACGGCGACGCTTGCAATCCTCATTTTTATTTTTCAAACGGGACAGGTGTCAAATCAATAATTGCAGCGTGAGGGCTTCGCGGCAATTATCTCGGCTACGATCTGCCGCAGCACAGCGCGGAGCGTTGAATTTTTGCCACGCGAAAAACCGCATTCCATTAAAGAAGATTAGCATGTCGGGCAAAAGGGAGCTGCGAGCACTACGCCCGGCTGATATCCCATTTCAATCGGCTAGCGCCCGGACGAAAGCCGGCAGAGGTCCCTGACCCTTTAGCGAATTGAAACCGGCTTTCTGGAATCCCCCGAAGAATCCTATCTGCATTGCACTAACCGCCCCGAAAATCTTAAGCGCACACGCAGGCGTCGGATGGCCCTATAACGCGATCTCATTTCTTCCATCTTTGCTTTTCTGTGAAATGGCGCTCGGAAAAAAAGCCCTGCCCCGGCGTAGATTGCCCCGCTCGAGATCGATTTGACTCTCCGCCAGCATAACGAAACGTATACCATTGCTACTTGGAACGTGCTCATTACGATGGCTGCGCGGGCCGCGAATCTATTGTGCAACTAATTTTCATAAAGCTCTCGCGAGCTCGCGCAAGAGCCGTTTTATTGTCGTGCATCATCAAGGAAGAAAAGAAAAACTCCCGGTGTCGGATAGGAGAGGAGACTTCCGGCTTTGCGCAACGAGACGCATCGCGCACACTTGGTGGTCGTTGAAAGCACAAGAAAGAGAGAGCACTGGCTCGAATCAAACTGACGTTTTCTACTTTGTCTGATCGTCTGTCTCCAAGGAGGGTTGTTGTCTCTTTTGCGCGCTATTATACTCGTATATCGAGGTATTGATCGGCACGTGGAGTTCGTAGCTGCTACTGTCGCGCTTGTCGCGCGCGCGTTTTCGCTGAGAAATCGCTCGGCTAATTCGACGTCGAGTTGACGACTCTTCGCTTAAGAGCGATCGCCGTGTTACGTACGCGCGAGGCGCGTGGATTATTTGCTTGCTGATTCACCCGCTGGAAATTCCCGATGATTAACGTGCATTTTTATTTTTTTCATTTAACGATTGAAAAGTTGTTTTCCAGTGTCCTTGCTTTATTCTCACATTCGCGGAGAAATATTTTCTCACTGATAGAAACTACAAGTAGCGAGGGGGGTGAGGAGGGGGGGGGGGGGGGGAGAGGCTCTTCGCTTTTGCGCATTATGTTTCACGGAAGTCGCCAACAACAGCAACTCAAGACGATGACCAGACCAAGTTTTGTACAATTGCAAGTGCCACAGCAGCTGTAATTTTGAAAAATACGAGCGTATTTCATGTGCTTCATTTACGTAATCGCCTCTCTCTCTCTCTCTCTCTCTCTCTCTCTTCATATAACCGCAGGTGTAACAATTACACTCACTTTCGATCGAAATTCACGTCGCTAAATCATTGTCATCCCATTGTATTTTATTATTCGCGTACGAGCAGAGTTATTTTTATTCATCGTTGATCCATTAACCGCTAGAGAGGGAGAGAGAGAGAGAGCAGCAGCCTCACGCATCCCATAGTGCGGTAATGCAGGTCGCGCGGCAAAGCGAAATAGGTTGCGAAACTTTAACGTCGGTATCGCGGAACTCGCACTTTTTTCTCGCTCTCCCTCCCTTTCTCTCTCTCTCCCTCTCTCTCCCTCCGTCTCTCTCTTTCAGTTAAAAACAATGCGCTATAAATTAAAACGCATTGTTGGATACATGTTCACGCGAACTGACCTATCACTGGATTTCAATGGTTTTCTTTTCTTGTTGCAGCGAAAAAACAGAATGGAGCAGCACTTCGAACAAACAGTTTGGGTTCCGGAACGCGGACACCGCCGCTCGAAAGGAAAAGCAAGTTTTCAGCCCTTGGTAGACTCTTTAAGCCATGGAAATGGAAACGGAAAAAGAAATCTGACAAGTTTGAGGCCGCGTCCAGATGTGAGTTGACAATAACTGTTACTTTTTCCGTTCATGAATCAAATGGTGGATTGTTCTCAAGCTTATTTTGATGTTACATTGATACTATTGACTGATGGGTTTATTTTTTTTTTGTTTTAGCACTTGAGAGGAAAATTTCGGTTCGAGCAAACCGAGATGAACTTGTACAGAAAGGCATATTGTTGCCTGAAAGTCCTACGTCTCCCATTCCCGAAAATAGTGAGTATTCGAGTAGGTACTATTTTACAATCTAAAAAAAAATAAATTTATAAAAGAACGCGTTAAAAATATTTATTGCCACAATGTTTAGCAATTTGTAGAAATGTTCGAAAGCTTATAAAATTTGTATTTGTTACTGTAAAAGTAGGTTTTTAGTAAAAAAGTAAATTTTATACTACTTACTAGCTAATGATACAGTGGCAATCTATTTTATCGATGTGAAAAATGAAAAGTAGTTTTCTACTATTTTTCCGTATCTTTTCAGTAAATTTTACGAATAAATAATCGAAATTACTCAACTAAAAGTTCATACAATTTTGTACCACAAAATTCAAGCAAGTAACTCGGAACATCTAAAATACAATATTATTTTGCAGGTCCCATGGGTGACAACACAAGCGCGCCTCAGAAGCCGCCGACGCCTCAGCAGCAGCAAGCTCAGCATCAGCAGCAACTGCAGCAACAGTTACAACAACAATTCCAACAGCAGCAGCAGCAGCAACAACAACAACAACAACAACAGCAGCAGCAACAGCAGCAGCAGCAGCAGCACGGGAGTACACCCGTAGCGACGCCTACCTCGCAGCCGACGCAAACGTTTCAGCAGCCGGCAACTCCGACACCTACCAATGCCAGCCAGCAACCGCCCGGCAGTAACAGGGCCTCGCCCCATCCGTCGCCGCTCTACCCTGGAATGCCCCCGCTACCCTCCTCCAATCAGCACAACTCCCAAGGTAAGTCACAGCTCGCTGCTCACATTATTTAAGTTTAAGGCTTACTATCTTTGTCTGCGCCTCTTCAAAAAGAAGTAAAGAAAAGATGAAACAACCCCTTATATACGCTTATAAAATATCACAATTGAAACTGAATTATTCGAAGACTTTCGCATATATAGCTGAGAATTAATCTCCTGTCTGATTCTTTGCTTCTGAGAAAAGTCATTGAAACAAAAGACACGACGAAAATGTAGGTGAATAGAGATTTAGAAAATGACTTCCAAATTTGGTTACATCACCGAGACTCTCTCCGACAAAATATGTATAAGCGACTTCGAGCAGAGTGTCAAGGAAAGGCTTCGCAAGCTCATATTAAAAGTCATCCCGCGCGCGTACTTGAAGTAGGAAGCACTAGCGCGGTTTAGGCATGGAAGTGCCAGGCAGCCTGCGGCGATGACCCAATTCCTCAATGTGTAACGCCGTGTCGGCGACGGCGGGTAGAAAAGGACACGCATACATACATAGGCAAACGTACGTACAAGTTGCTGGACCGATTAGATTAGCCAAGCAAAATGCCACTTCTCTCCTCCCCCTCCTCGTCAATATATATTAGGTTATATTGGTGGGAGCTTGTGCTTATTCATGATTTTACTAATTCGAAACCGCTGAAATACAAACTCCTCTCTAGTTCGATTTTTTCAATTACCTAAAACTTTCTAAAGGCCTCGATACAAAAACAAAAGAAACCACAACTTACCACAAAGATAGAAAAAGCCACGAGGTCACATATTTTTTGCCTTTCTCAAAAAGTCAATAAGCATATCTACCCTGATCTAGAGCGAACCAGTGTAAGAAGAATAAAAGAAAAAGAAAAATGCGAAACCCTTCAATCCGTGCCGGTAAAAAGGAAAAAGCCATCTCTTGCTGAAGCAGATTAGGCAAATGCATTTTCGATAACCGAACGAAAAACAGAATGTCGCATTTCGATGATCAACAAGGATGGGACACCCTACCGTGTCGGCAAGTCCTTTATTTCTCGTTATTTTGGTACTTTCTTACACCTTCATGCCGGTCCGCGCGAGTTCCAAGGAGAAGGGGGCGGCGGTTGCACAGTCGCATACTTGTGTGCGCGGTGCATCACCGCCGTAGACCGTGGAGGATCAATGACCTGTAAGCCCTATGCTCTTGGGCTATCGCTTGACGCTCGAGTAATTGAATGTACACTGTCTTTATTATTCTACAACAAGCTTGCCTTGCTGTCGAGTCATCTACTTTGCGATCTTACGTGACTACCCTCCCCCCCCCCCGACCCCCTTACAGCACGCTTAATTGCCCCATCGATTATATTGCGTAAGGAGATGCTTACTTCCCTCCCTCTCTCAATCGCACTGTTAAGTAACTTTCAACTGAATTCTCTCTAATTGAATTTTCCTTCCTGGAATTCTTCGAAGCTTTCATTGTTGTTCTTGTCCATTGGTATGCTCGCGATACGCACGAATGAAAGGAGCAATCGATTATCCGAAGCGCGGAAAGTCGGAATGCCTTGCGCGACGTGCTGGCAATTATAAATAACGAGCGCCAAGTCGAGCGGCGTTAATTCATTTAGACTATCGACTGCGAAAGTTCAGCGGCCGTTTTTCCTCGAACCGAGAGAAACTTCGCGGAGACATTTATCGCTGTCAATAGTTTGCCCCGACGCTAGCATCTTCTTTATCGATATCACGCGAAGTAAAAAATAAAAAAAAATGCGCTTTGAGTATATTCACATTTTTAGTCTTAAAGTAAAGTGCAGTGTATATGCACCCATGGGTCAAACCTTCATTTGTCCGAATGAATGCGCCTTGTGCATCGAATTTCTCCAAGTGTATGTCGTGTCGACGCTTGCGAAGCACAGGATTAGTGCATTACGTGACTGGTGACGTTTGCCGTCTCGCTTGCGCGCGATCTTTGGATTAATGCGAGCGAAGAGGCACCGGGAATAGAAAAACAAAGCTCGCGCGCGACATATATGCATGCGCGTGCCTTCGGGATTCGGTGTTTACTTTTCTCGGCGCGGCAGCAACGGCAGCAGTCCACTTCTATTTGCTCGACGAATTGAAAAAGCGGACGGCCTTACATTTGTTTCTCTCTAAACGTCGCATTGAGGTCTCGACGCATTTTTTATTTTCGCGTCAGTCGTGCTCTTAGCTCGCACATTGAATATTTCAAAAGGGATTCGCGGACCTGAGCTTTGCTCGACGAAGCTAATTCTCGCACAAAGTCGCTCTGTAGATATAAATTGTAGCCTCGTGCAAGAGAAATATCAGTTGGCTCAGAAGCGCTGTGCTAATTGGATTCTATTGGCCCGAGCCATTGTTGTTTCTTTCCTCTCGATTTTTCTCCCTCTCCGTCTCGTGTTTCGATCGCTTCCACAAGGGTTTTGCGCGAATGCCGCTGTTGGATTGTGAATGTTTTTTTTTCAATATAACCGAAAGGGTAAATATATTCTCGATATTTGCTGTATACATTAGCACTGTCGACGTACGATACTCGATATTTATTGGCTCGAATTAATTGCTCTTCACTGCTCGCGTTGCGTGCGCTTATCTAATCCTAAACGCTAATTCAGAGCCACTGCGGCAATAATTCACGGAAATCGAAATAACGCGTTCGCGCGTGGTTACTGCGAAAGCCACCAATCGAAACGGGATGAAAACAAATCGCTCTCAATTAAAGGCTCGTAAAAATCCACGTACGGTGGCTCTGTTGCATCCCTCCCTGCCCCCCCCCCCCCCCCGGGTTGCTGTCGAAATTACCAACTTTCGGTCAGTTGAGTGCGCACTAACACACATAGGAGTTTCTCGCATGATAAGGCGGAAGCGACCCGATAGGCGCCAGCCAAGAGCGATCAATACCCCCGGCAGCGGCAGCAGCTCGGCCAACGTACACACAGCATCGTCGTCGCTCGAGACTTTAACGGGCCAACCTCTTTTTCTTGCCTCGCTTATCCTCGCTCTCTTTCGTTCTTTTGGTCTTTTTCGCGGCTCCTTGGTGGGCTTCCCTCGCGTGTGTCGATTTACTTTATCAGCGTACCCTCCTTCCCTTGGAAGCGCGTGTGTAATGTTTTCTTCCGCAGAAAATGGTCTCCCCGCCGCGGACTAAGTTTCGTTTTATGTTGCGCGGTATATTGAAAGGACATGCGCTCGCCAACCGGAATCTAGGTTAATTTCATAGTGGGAAGAGCAGCCCTTCGTGCCAGCCGTTTAGGATATGTAAAGAAGCTTTCGATAAAACAAGCACTCACTATCAAGTTGCGCGTTGGGGAAAAGATCCTCCTACTCGTTATATCCTCGATCTATAAGAATGTGACGAGAAATAAGTGAGCTCGCGCTTTCAAAAATAAAAGTTCTGCTGTCTCTTCCAAATAGTCTTTATCTCAAAGTAGACAATGTCGCAAAATAGTCAGATTTCTCTTTAACAAAAATAATAAGAGAAAAAATGAACCTATCGTATGCGCCTTTTTGACGAATCGCTTAAGCAACATGAAATATCACTTTCGAGCCATGTAGCATACCTCATTGGAGAAAAAAGCGCGCTCGCCTGTATACAACGAAACTTCCGTACGACTCATACTGCGTTGGAATCCGTTCTGGAAATTCGGCCACCGAGTAATTTCGGTCGGAACCCAATTTTGGGCGCAAAGATCTGCGAGATAACAGACGATGACCGAGCATTTGCCGTTTGCCTGGTTCGAAGAAAAAAAAAGTTTCCCGTCGTAAATAAGCTTTCGCCGTAAATTTACCGCGATATTTGCGGTTCGCACTACAAATTCTCAATGCTTTTCAATCCGAGCGCAAGCGAGACGTCGCAAAATCAGGAAACCGCAAATCTTCGGGGGGGCGGGGGGGGGGGGGAGCAGTTACGAGGCGCGACGTAGCATAAAACGACGCTTAGAAATTTTCCAATCTAAAAGTTGTACATGGATCGGCGCTAAGGAGGCGTTAAGTCACGTTCCCGCTTTTGCGGGCAATTTCGCAAACTTGCGATTGAATCGAATTTCCTGTGCGGATAATGCACACACCGACACCGTCGTTACAGTTTCGAATTGATGCATCGATGCTACACTAATTTTGAGTTAGTACGAGATAGGATGAACAATGGAAGCGGCATGGCACTTGTTTGACCATCTGAAGTTCAGGGTCAATCTTTGATCTTATAGCGGCTGATCGCTCATTGACCTCAACTACTGGATGCTAAATTTCGTCGGTGCAAATATTATACAAGAATAATGTCGATTAAAAATTATTAACTACCAGTCGATTAAAAGAAAGTCTCTTATTCCACATTTATTTACTTCTTCGCGCATGCGCGTTGTTTCTCATCAAATAGCTTTTATTTTATCCATTATTTTATCCATTTACGCAAGACTGTTAATTACTACAAAGCGCGAAAGCTCCGCTAAAGAGTGAGAAGGAGAAATGTTATTTTAGTTGTTCCAATAGAGATCCAAGAGAGTGAAAGCAAAGTGCAATGCGATTCAATTTGCATTCCCATAAGCTTGCATCATGGCTTGCAGCGAGTCCTCACGACTAGCTTTTGAAAACTAGTTAAAACCTGAACTATTCACTCTCGGTGAGACAGAAAAATTCGTAATGTTGAAGTTTGCATAAAAATCGGATTTTCCCGAGGGCCAAAGTAATCACATTAGCCGCGTGCACTCGAGAAGTATTCGATCGAACTCTTAGCCCCCGTTCACTTCGTTTAGTCAGATAGCGAGCGGCTCGAAAGAGGAATGCACGATCCAAAGCGTGGAGAAATGAGAGAAATCCTATATAGATTCATCCGGGCAAACGAAGCAGAAGACAAGTGGCCTCTAATGAGGAAAAACTTGGGCTCTATCGACTTACACTCGTGCCCAACGTTAGCCGAGCCATTGTTCGCGGAAAATACAATATAACGGCAGGACTCGATTTTCTCCTTTAACTCGCCCAGTCTTCACCACGTAGAATAATTTCGCACCGATTTCTCGCCAGAGTAAG